ACAGGACTAATCTGTGTACCACATGAACACAGCCAGCCTGTGGGGGCCAGAATTGTTGGTTGGTAGGGGATCAAATACTTATAAATTGGAGTTACTGTTCAGCAAGTAAAAACATTTGTATCATGTTTTTTTCAGAATTTTTGGTTGGTATTCTGTCTCTACAAAGAAATGAAGAATGATATTTTTATCATAGGTGGATTTTTGTGGGCAAACTTACAAAATCTGCAGAGGATCAAATATTTATTTTCCCCCACTGTATGTCCTTTTATAGACAGGATATATTGAGGCATTCCCTCTCTCAACACCTGGTGGTAGTCTTTCACACATAGGCAATACAGGTTTTATTTCAATTCCTTTTCACAGGCTCATTTGTTAGCTTTGGTAGGATTTTGGCCTTCTAATTTCCACTCATTTGTCATCACGTGCCACCTTTGGTTGTCCTGGGGGGTACTTTGAGCCCCTTCCACAACTCCAGGATACACTGTAGCAGTCACAACAATGTTTTTTTTTTATACCAATTAAGCTGGTTTGCAAGTACTTTTTTTTTTTTTAAAACGAATGATATGGAATTACAATATGTATGTACTTCATACACCGATTTATGTCAAATATGAAGAATCAATCAAGAATGAAGTTCCATGGGCAAATTAAATTGTGGCAGAAGAGATGTGCACCCACTGCAAACCCAGCATTTTTTAGTTTTGGGTAGACTGGGGAAGGATAAGATCATTCCTACTGAGGTTTTACGGCTATCCGGAGGACTTTAAATGCTTGATTTCCCCTCAGGACTGCTTTCTCCTGAAGCCTGTTTGTGGCTACCCCATCCACATGCATTTCAGTGATGGCTGCATGGCATCTCTCAGTGCAGGTTTCCCGATTACTACAGTGGACCATGTCTACTCAATGTATGCCACCATGGCAGCTCAGTCTCCCAGTTGTGCAATATGTTGTCAACCTATTGCCCTCAGTGGAGGCAAAGGACAGAGCATTGTTACCCTAGATCAGAAAGTGTCTCAACAAGGACCTGATGAAAAACTTCATTTAAAAATATTGACATTTATTCTTTTTTAAAATTACATTAACCACTAACTGCGGTATAGCCGAATGACGGCTACAGCGCAGTTAACCAGTTCTGGGAGGGTGTCATGATGCCCTCCCACGCACCCCCGGCGATCATAGTGATCGCTGTATCCTATGGACACAGCTGATCACATAAGGTAAAAGGCCAATCACAGCAGCCTTTTACTATGGGATCAGCTGTGTCCAATGACAGCAGATTATGGAGTAAATACAATCGCCGTTATCGATAACCAGCAGCTGTTACAGAGCAGATCGGCACCGATCATTACTGCCCTGCCGTCAGTCAGTGCCCATCATTGCCTCCTCAGGGCAGCCTCATCAATGCACATCAGTGGAGAAAAATTACCAGTTTGCAAAACTGTATAATCGAAAAACTTTCAAATTTTTTGCTTTTTTTGTTTATATCACAAAATAAAAAACCAACAAAAGAAAGCTCTATTTGTGTTAAAAAAAAAAAAAAAAAATTATTATGGGTAAAATGTTGCATGACCACTCAATTGTCAAAGTACAACAATGCTGAAAATTGGCTTGGAAACAAAAAGGGGTAAAAAAAAAAGAGCCTGGTAGAGGCAATAGAGCTTTCTTTTGGTGGTATTTAAATTGGCACTGGGCGTTTATTTTTTGCGCAACAAAAAAAACAAAAAAACACAGTCTTTGTATTATAAGATTTTGCAAACTGTTAATTTTTCTCCTTCATTGATGAGGAGGCACGAAGGCCTAGAGTGCTGCAAACTGCCCAGGGGAAGGGGATTCCTACCGGTTTGTGACCAGACCAGGCTGATCCGGTTCTGAAGGAGATCTTCAGCAGACATCTTTGAGATATACATATATGCGCATAAAGGTTGCGCATCTGGTGAGTGCGCATTCCTAACAATTTCACGGCACGTCACCAGGATGTTGTAAGGAGCACTTACCTGAGGTCCCCTCAGATGGATCACCACTTCTAAGCACTTTACATGAACTGTTTTCAGGACTATGTATAATTATTAACACTCAGCACATTGTCAGTGCTCACCATTATCACCTTTTAGCTTTGCATTTTGCACTTTTGTCACTTTATATCCACATTTCGGTTTAGTGCAATTTATGTGTGTATATACATTTGAACTTTGTTATTTAGTACTCCAGCGCCACATCCCTTTGTTTTCTTGATGAGGCGGCACTGATCATCGCGGCACTGATCATCAGGGCCCTGATGATCAGTGCCACATATCTCCCCTGACAGCTGCCGGTTATCAGCAGTACTTTCCTCACGCTGTCACAGCATGAAGAAAGTGCTACCAATAACCGGCAACTGTATTTACTCCGTGATCTGCTGTGTCATTAGACACAGCAATCATGGAGATCACCGGGGGGGCGCAGGAGAGTACATACTGGGAGCACGTCACGACGCCCTTCCAGAACTGGGTGATGTGCTGTAGCCGTCATTCGGCTATAGCAAGGTTACCAAGTGGTTAAAGATAGAGATCATATGAAGCCATTTATTATCGCATTTTTATGGCTCGTTTTTAAAACAGCAAGTCACCCAAATAGCCCTGATCAAAAATGTTTACATACCCTGGAACGTCTGGCCTTGGTACAGACACAGGTTAAAAATTGCAATTAACGGTCAATTTCCCTACATTGGTGGCTTTTTAAATTGTAGTTAATGTCTGTATAGTCAATGAGTTTGTTCACTCATATGAATACTCGGAGCAGGCTAGATACAGAGCCACGGGGAGCAGAAAACTGTCAAAAGACCTGCATAACAAGGTAATGAAACAAAAAAAAAAAAAAATGTCTATCTACACAGTCTTGAATATGTCAATCAGTACGGTTCAAAAAAAAAAAAAAAAAGTGGAAAATTTGGGGATCTCTTGATAGATACCAATGTCAGGTAGACCAAGAAATTGCAGCCACAACTGCCAGAAGAATAGTTTGGGATACAAAGAAAAAAACCCACAGGTAACCTCAGGAAAAATACAGGCTGCTCTGGAAAAAGATGGTGTGGTTGTTTCAAGAAGCACAACACTTGAACAGAAAGCTGCTTGGTTGATTTGCCAGAAAACCGCCTTTGTGTCAATGTCACAAAAAAGCCCAGCTACAATATGTCCGACACCACATTGACATGCCTCAAGCTTCTAGCACACTAATCTGGAGTGACAAGACCAAAAGAGAGCTTTATGGAAACACCACAAGCGCTATGTTTGGAGAGGGGTCAACAAGGCCTATAGCAACAAGAATACCATCGTCACAGTGAAGTATGGTGGTGGCTCCATGATGTTTTAGGGGTGCGAGCTCTAAAAGGCACGAGGAATCTTGTGAAAATTGATTTTAATACGCATGCAGAATGTTATCAGAAAATATTGGCAGACAATTTACATTCTTCTGCACATAAGCTGTGCATGTGACTCTTGGCCTTGTGCTTGGGGTCATTGTCATGCTGGAAAGTCCAAGTTGACCGTCCACTGGTTACAGCAGAAAAAGGTGAATGTTCGAGTGGCCATCCTAACCTTAAAGTGTTACTAAACCCAGGACCCTACATTCATTATATTTGGTCTAACAAAACAAAAATGAAACCAGCGCTCAAATCTTCATGCAGACTAAAGAAAATTTTGAATGCCAAAAAGTTGAGGTGCGATCGGGAAATCTAGATAATCTAGGTAATGGTGAACAAACACAAACAAGGGCACACTCCCATCGTGCTTTAACATGGTACACCACGTATTTATTGAAAAATAGAAGAAATATACTCACAAACCAAAAAGGTTACAAACAGAACAGGTAATCCGTAAGGGCAGTCCAATGGATTCAAACACCTATATGGGATAGGCTAACGCGTTTCGGGAGACAAATCCCCTTCCTCAGAGCTAAAATGTAGACCACTGGACTGCCCTTACGGATTACCTGTTCTGCTTTTAACCTTTTTGGTTTGTGCGTATATTTCTACTATTTTTCAATAAATACGTGGTGTACCACGTTAATGCACGATGGAAGTGCACCCTTGTTTGTTTTTGTTCACCATATTTGGTCTCCCACAGTACATGGAAATACAATTATTTCAGTAAATATAAAATTGCTAAATACCTTTTCCCATTAGCAGTTACAGCAGTCTTCTGACTTCTATCAGTGTCCAGCAGGGCACTGGTTAAAGCCTGTAGGAGGAGTTTTTTCTGCTCTAGGATACAGAACCCCTGACCTCTGTCTGGAAAGTGCAGATTGGCACTGTGATGATCGCATGCAATCTCAAGAAAAAAAAAAAAAAAAAAAAAAAAAAAAAACACCTAGCAATATACACCAAACTGAGCATCTCCACATGATAGGTCTTATCAGGAGATAACAGGGACACTGGAAGAAGGGGGGATCAGAGAAGTCAGGATCAAACCGTATTTTACACAATGCAAAGGATTAACTCCTTAGATTCTATAGTGCTTATAGCAACTATGCTTTACTGCATATACAGACTGATTTTACGGTTGTGGGTTTAGTAACACTTTAATATCATGCCACTGGAGATCTCAAATGTGCAGTCATGCAAGACGACCAAAGACTCTGCATGATCTGGAGGCATTTTGCCAAGACAAATGGGCAGCTATACCATCTGCAAGCACTTGGGGCCTCAGACCACCAATACAAAAGACTGCATGCTGTCATTGATGCTAAAGGGGCAATATGCAGTATTAAGAACTAAAAGGGTATGCAGACTTTTCAACAGGGATCATTTCATTTACTTGTTTTAGGATTGTGCCATTCTGTTATGAACTACAGTTGAATATGAATCCCATAACAAAAAAAATGTTTTTTGCCTGCTCACTCATGGTACATACTATGCCAATTCTCCAAGCAAATGCAAACTTTTGAGCAGAACTGCATAATATTTAAAAATGATTTTGCATATGGGATATGAAATCATTAATGCAATTACTCATGCTAAAACATACGTCTGTTTCCACGTAGTGCATAGACCACTTCAACACCATCACAAAACATCCCCATCTGTTCAATTACTTCTCCCGTCTGCAAAGCAAGCTCAAATGTAGGGCTGAGACAGATACACTAAGAGGGAAATGGAACTTTGTCACCACTTTTATAACAATGCATGAGATATAGAGATACTAGAGTTATAGATTGAGAGAAAAACAAAATTGTAAAATACACACCTCAAAAAAAAAAAAAAAAAAAAATTAGAAGATCGTGCAAAAGTTCATTTATTTCAGTAAATCAACTTAAAGGTGAAACCAATATATGAGAGACTCATTACATGCAAAGCAAGATAGTTCAAATTGTGATTTGTCATAATTGTGATTATGGCTTACAGCTCACGAAAACCCCAAATCCACAATCTCAGAAAATTAGAATATTGTGAAAAGGTGCAATATTCTAGGCTCAAAGTGTCCCACTCTAATCAGCTAATTAAGCCATAACACCTGCAAAGTGTTCCTGAGCCTTTAAATGGTCTCTCAGTCTGGTTCAGTAGGAATCACAATCATGGGAAAGACTGCTGACCTGACAGTTGTGCAGAAAACCATCATTGACACCCTCCATAAGGAGGGAAAGCCTCAAAAAGGTAATAGCAAAAGAAGTTGGATGTTCCCAAAGTGCTATATCAAAGCACATTAATAGAAAGTTATGTGGAAGGGAAAAGTGTGGAAGAAAAAGGTGCACAAGCAGCAGGGATGACCGCAGCCTGGAGAGGATTGTCAGGAAAAGGCCATTCAAAAAAGTGTTGGGGACTTTCACAAGGAGTGGACTGAGGCTGGAGTCAGTGCATCAAGCCACCACACACACACACGGATCCTGGACATGGGCTTCAAATGTCGTATTCCTCTTGTCAAGCCGCTCCTGAACAGCAAACAACGTCAGAAGCGTCTTACCTGGGCTAAAGAAAAAAAACAGACCTAGTCTGTTGCTCAGTGGTCCAAAGTACTCTTTTCTGATGAGAGCAACTTTTGCATCTCATTTGGAAACCAAGGACCCAGAGTATAGAGGAAGAATGGAGAGGCACACACTGCAAGATGCTTGAAGTCCAGTGTGAAGTTTCCAGTCTGTTGATTTGGTGAGCCATGTCATCTGCTGGTGTTGGTCCTGTGCTTCATTAAGTCCCAGGGTTCACGCAGCCGTCTACCAGGAGATTTTGGAGCACTTCATGCTTCCTTCTGCATACGAGCTTTATGGGGATGCGGACTTCATTTTCCAGTAGGACTTTGCACCTGCCCACACTGCCAAAAGCACAAAAACCTGGTTCAACGGCCGTGGGATTACTGTGCTTGATTGGCCAGCAAACTCGCCTGACCTGAACCCCATAGATAATCTATGGGGCATTGCCAAGATAAAGATGAGAGACATGAGACCGAACAATGCAGAACAGCTGAAGGCCACTATTGAAGCATCCTGGTCTTCCATAACATTTCAGCAGTGTTACAGGCTGATTGCTTCCATGCCACGCCGCACTGAGGCAGTAATTGCTGCAAAAGGGGCCCAAACCAAGTACATATGCATGCTTATACTTTTCAGAGGTCCAACATTGTTTTATGTACAACCCTTGTTTTATTGATTGCATGTAATATACTAATTTTCTGAGATTGTGGATTTGGGGTTTTCATGAGCTGTAAGCCATAATCACCACAATTATGACAAATCACGGCTTGAACCATCTTGCTTTGCATGTAATGAGTCTATCTCATATATTAGTTTAACCTTTTAAGTCGCATTACTGAAATAAATGAACATTTGCACGATATTCTAATTTTTCGCATTATATATATTTTACAAAAAAGAAACACCCACACAGGAAACAGGCTTGTGTTCTCTCATGCCGACTGCAGTATCTGTGCTGTGACAGCATGGGTCTGGTGCAGGGAGGCTTCCCACACCGCTCGTATGAGATGGAGTTCAATCAGGAACAATGGGGAAACTGCATTTGGATTCTGGACAGGAATAGTACTTCATTGTTGTTCAAATAGCACACTATTCTTTGCGGTGTTATTTGCATCAGTGGATGAAGTTTTTTTTTTTTTTTTTTTTTTTTTTTTTAGGTATTGGGAGCATTTTCACAAGTAATTGAGAAAATGCTTAGTATCGAAACAGATACCATATCGGTGCATCCCTAATATTAACTAAGACTTTCCGCAATGGTTTTGATGTACCTGGAAGGTACTTCGTTGATATAAACAAAGTGTTCAATTGGGCTGTAGAATAGGATTTAGTAAACTTTTAGGGTGCTTAGGAAAATATATTTTAGTATGTTTGGGATTTATCACAAAATAAAGAAATAAAACCAATAGCAAAATTCTAATGCATCCAGTAAGCAGTAGCATCCCATGAATAGAGTTGGTATACCCATTTCCATGAGATGGAACATTCTAGCCCCGGACTAAAAATGGCATTTATAAAAACTTGATTGCAAGCATTCAGAACCTCAAAGCATCGTCCTTCTCACAAGCTTACCTGTGGGTATTTTTTCAAGGGGTCTACTCTGCTGAGCATGGCGAGGACAAAAGCAGCAGTCTTTCCGGTGCCTGACTGGCTCTGGGCAATCAGATTTTGTGGGCTGCAGACACAAATGAACTGGTTAGTAGATTGGAATTGAACTGGCTTCACAGACAACCATCACACTATTCAAAACACAGGCAGGTGTCTTCCAGGCCTGTCATTCTTGGGGGGGGGGGGGTTGATTATAAGACGTTATTCAATTTGAACTTACGGAAATGCAAGCATCATAGGCAAAGCAGTTTCTTGTATCTTCGATGGTCTGTTGAATCCCATTGCATACACTCCTTTAAGCAGTTCAGGCTTCCTAGAGGGAAACAAGCAATGAAAACATTTGCATCCATTAAGCCTCTCACCTCAGTTTACTTTTCTTCTCCAAGCATCCATTTTGAGCAGGCAGCCTTAACAATTCCACTAAAAAGCTAATTGCTTAAAAGGGGGTAACATACAGCATATGCTAAGGGGCAGAGATTAGTTTGGGGCAACCAGTTCTGCCTTGCATCAAAGTTAAATTCAAGGCTACTTTCTCTGTTATGAAAGCCCACAGGTGTTTACAAGAACAATGCAGCCTTTGTTGCAATATGCTTCAATCCACAGCTGTCCCCTTCCATATTCCTTTTACGGACCGGAGTCATTAACCCAGAAGACTGGGGACATGCTGTGAGCACAAGATTTCATGGACCTGCCCCAAAGGGCATAACCATGATGCCCCACACATAAGGACGGACAGAACTGCATTTGCATAATCAGACCATTTTCGTTATCTGCACTTTTAAAAAAAAAAAAAAAAAAAAAAAAAAAAAAAAAAAAAAAAAAAAAAGACTGTCCACAAGTCATTTCTTACCTCTGCATGTTAGGGACTGTCCACTGCTGGGTGAAGATCCAAAGAGGATCTTACACATGGTGCAGTGCCAAAAATAAGTGAGCCTGGAAATGGATTTACAGTTGCTAGGACATCCTAACAATACAGTTGACACCAATTTTCAGAGTGGCTGCTGACACGCCGACTCACTTTCATAAGTAGGAGAAAAAAACCATAATACTGAAAAGCAGGGGCAGAGGATTACATGCTTCTTTTGGGTACACTCATATGAGCTTTTGATGTGATTGAGAAGCAAGGAAAGTTTAAACATTATTATACAGGATTTATAGAACACCAACAGTTTGCTCAGTGCTTTACAATATAAAAAGGGAGACAATACAGCAACGATACAGTTCAATACAAGAGGGTTAGGAGGGCCCTGCTCTCTTAAGAGGGAGGGGCTGGTGGTACAAAAAAAAAAAAAAGTAATAACTGTGGTAGATGAACTAATAGAAATAGAAGATTGTTATTAGCTGAAGGCAGGATAGGCTTCCCTGAAGAGATAGGTTTTCAGAGATGACCTAAAAGTGGGCAAAGTAGGAGATAGTCGGATTGATTGGGGTAGAGAGTTCCAGAAGATGGGGGAGGCTCTGGAGAGGTCCTGGAGACGAGCATGGGAGGAGGAGACGAGCTAGAGAGCAGGTGGTCATGGGAGGAGCGGAGAGGACGGTTTGGGTGATATTTGGAGACAAGATTGGTGATGTAATTTGGAGCAGAGTTATAAATGGCTATGTTATTGTTAAGGTTTGTAGAGAAGGAGAGACTCGATCGAAGATGTGAGTGAGGGAGCAAAGGATAGCAGAGGGTGACAAAAGGTGAGGGACCAGGATTCAAGCAGCAGGTAGTGAGATGGGCTTCTGAGAAAACTTTAGAAACCTCTTCAGATGTAGCAAGGTCATAAGAGGAAAGCGATTTAGTATTGTTGATGTGAAATAGAATGTTGTCATATTGGATTTTGATGCATCATAAATCATGTTTTTATGCTCATTTTGTGCCTTAAAAGTCCCTATTCTCAGGTATTTTGGTTCAAAATATACATTAGGGATGTGGCACTCAGAGTTTAAATATTGATAATTTTTTAAAATTACTTGCAATCTCGTGAACAGTGAGCGAGTTACTGGGTGGAGGTGGAGAAAGTAGAGAAGACTATGAGGACTGGATGAAAAAGGTATTAAGAGTGACAACATAGGCTTGTTTGGCAGTATAGAGGGATGAATTGTATTTTAAGAAAGCAGATTCATATCGGGTGACTGCTGGGATTTGGTTTTACACCACAAGCACTCCAGTGCAAGACTAGGTCTCTTTAGATTTCTGGTGTCAGTCTGCCAAGGTTGTAATGGTTGGGGCCTGATACTTTGTGTAGTTAGAGGAGCAAGTGAGCCTAGTGTGGATGAAAGTGAACTGTTTTAGACAGAAGTGGTCAGGTCAAGGCAGGACAGGGGAGAGATTCTGTCAGAGGTGGTACAGAGTAGAAAAGAGAAGGATTAAAGTTATGAAGGTTTCTTCAGCTAATTGTTTGCTGCTTGAAGGGATAGGTGTTTGAAGATGAGGACACTGAAGGTGATGAGATTGTGATCAGAGAAAGGAAAAGGGGGTGTTTGTGAAGCTGTAGGGGGTGCAAAGATGGGAGAAAAACAGGTCTCATATTCCCAGAGTGAGTGGAGGACTGTGTCCATCATGTGAAGGCAAAAGATGAGGTTTGGTTGAAGAGTTGGGATGTAGCTGGGTTGTTCACATTAACCACTTCCCGTCCGGCCGCTGTTTATAAACGGCAGGACGGGACATCTACAGGAGCGGGTTGCCGTCTCTAAACGGCACCTTGTGTCTGAGGCTCGTGCGCGGCTCCTAGAGCGCGCACCCGCGAGCCTGATGATCGCCGAGTCCGACGGACTCGGTAGATTACGTGACATGGTATGGGACCAATGAAATCGGTCCCATACCATGTGATCAGCTGTGTCCAATAAGGACACAGCATAAGTGTAAACAAAAGCCGCATGGTGCGGCTTCCGCCTCCTTCTCCTCTCACGGAGTTGTCTGTGAGAGGAGAAACAGCCAAGAGGAGGTAGTAGACACCTGATCGCCCCTAAAGTGTCCCTGATTGCCCTAAAGTGGCCCTGATCACCCCAACAAGTGGCCCTGATTGCCCCAACAAGTGGCCCTGATTGCCCCAACAAGTGGCCCTGATTGCCCCAACAAGTGGCCCTGATTGCCCCAACAAGTGGCTTTGCCCATAAGTGGCCCTGATTGCCCCCACACAAGTGGCCCTGATTGCCCCCACAAGTGGCCCTGATTGCCCCAAGTGGCCCTGATCGCTCACAAGTGGCCCTGATCGCTCACAAGTGGCCCTGATCGCTCACAAGTGGCCCTGATCGCCCACAAGTGACCCAGCAGTGTCCCTGATTGTCAGTGTCCCTGATCGCCACATAGTGGCCCAGCAGTGTTCCTGATCTCCACAGTGTCCCTGATCGTCACAGTGTTTCCTGATCGCCACACAAGTGGCCAAGCAGTGTCCCTGATCGCCGCAGTGGCCAAGCAGTGTCCCTGATTGTCACACAAGTGGCCCAGCAGTATCGCCGCAGTGGCCAAGCAGTGTCCCTGATTGCCACACAAGTGGCCCAGAAGTGTCCCTGATTGCCGCAGAGTGGCCCAGCAGTGTCCCTGATCACCACAGTGTCCTGATTGCCACACAAGTGGTCCAGCAGTGTCCCTGATCGCCGCAGTGGCCCAGCAGTGTCCTGATCACTGCAGTGTCCCTGATTGCCGCACAAGTGGTCCAGCAGTGTTCTGATCGCCACAGTGTCCCTGATTGCCGCACAAGTGGTCCAGCAGTGTCCCTGATCGCCGCAGTGTCCCTGATTGCCGCAGTGGCCCAGCAGTGTCCCTGATCACCGCAGTGTCCCTGATTGCCGCACAAGTGGTCCAGCAGTGTCCCTGATCGCCGCAGTGGCCCTGATTGCCGCAGTGGCCCCAGCAGTGTCCCTGAACACCACACAAGTGGCCCAGCAGTGTCCCTGATCACCGCATTGGCCCAGTAGTGTTCCTGATCACCACACAAGTGGCCCAGCAGTGTCCCTGATCACCGCATTGGCCCAGCAGTGTTCCTGATCACCACACAATTGGCCCAGCAGTGTCCCTGATCACCACACAAGTGGCCCAGCAGTGTTCCTGATCACCACACAAGTGGCCCAGCAGTGTTCCTGATCACCACACAAGTGGCCCAGTGTCCCCTGATCGCGGACAAGTGGTCCAGCAGTGCCCCTGATCACCGAAGTGTCCCTGATCACGCAGTAGTCCAGCAGTGTTTCTGATTGCCACACAAGTGGCCCAGCAGTGTCCTGATCATCGCAGTGGCCCAGCAGTGGCCCTGATCGCCGCAGAAGTGGTCCAGCAGTGTCCCTGATCGCCGCAGTGTCCCAGCAGTGTCCCTGATCACCGCAGTGTCCCCGATTGCTGCACAAGTGGTCCAGCAGTGTCCCTGATCACCGCAGTGTCCCTGATTGCCGCAGTGGCCCAGATCACCACACAAGTGGCCCAGCAGTGTCCCTGATCACCACACAAGTGGCCAGCAGTGTCCCTGATCGCCGGACAAGTGGTCCAGCAGTGCCCCTGATCACCGCAGTGTCCCTGATCACCGCAGTTGCCCAGCAGTGTTTCTGATCGCCACACAAGTGGCCCAGCAGTGTCCTGCTCATCGCAGTGGCCCAGCAGTGTCCATGGTCGCCAATAAAAAATATTCTGCACAAGTGGTCCAGCAGTGTCCCTGATCGCCACAGTGTCCCTGATCGCCACACAAGTGTGGCCCAGCAGTGTCCCTGATCACCGCAGTGGCCCAGCAGTGTCCCTGATCACCATACAGTGGCTCAATCAGTGTCCCTGATCACCTTTTACAGTGTGCCTATTCATAAAGTGTCCCTGATCTCTGCCACACCAGTGGATCCTGTTCACTGCCATCGTCTGTGAGGAGAGAGATCCAGTACAGCTAACTGAGTAATTTTCAGCCTTTGCACACAGAGTTTACACACACTCACAAAACATTGCCAGCCACCTCACTGTATCTCTGATTTTTGCCCAACAGTGACTAGTGTGAACCAACTGCAGCCAGATATCTGTCCCTCACTGCAACACCATCCTGATCACTGCCATACCAGTGGGTCCTGATCAGTGTCAAAAATATGGCCAAAAAGATCATATACAAGCGAGGAGGCATTTCAAATTCTGAGTATGACAGATGAGAGTGACGGAGAACTCTCACTGTCAAACTCTGATTCTGTATATGAACCAGAACACACAGCAGCGGTTCACTCTCTGAATCAGAAGAAGGTGTTCCAACAAAAAGAATGAGGAAACTCCAAGGAGCAGCAAGCAACCACCAGCAGCTCAATACGTTCTTCTGATATGGCTACTACCAGCACTGTAAGTGCAAAGTTCTAGTATTCAGGTGTCAC